AACCGGGTCAAATGGTAGGTTCATTTGTAGTTTTTTAAGAGTTCTCCACACTGCTTTCCATAAGGGTTGAACCAGCAGTGGATGAGTGTTCCCCTTTCCCCACATCCTCGCCAACATTGGTATCATTTGTTTTCTTGATCTTAGCCAGTCTGACTGGGGTGAGGTGAAATCTTAAAGTGGTTTTAATTTGCATTTCCCTGATTATTAGTGATGTTGAACATCTTTTAAGATTTTTCATAGCCATCTTTACTTCTTCTTTTGAGAACTCTCTGTTCAGCTCCTTAGTCCATCTTTTAATTGGGTTGCTTCTCGTCTTAGGTCTCTGTTTTTTGAGTTCGTTAGAAATTCTGGTTTTTAAACCTCTAATCTCTGTTTTTTGAGTTAGTTATATATTCTTGATGTTAAACCTCTGTCAGATGTGTCATTGGTGAAGATTTTCTCCCATGATGTGTATTTTCTTTTCATTTCCCTGGTTGCCTCCTTTGATGTACAAAAGCTTTTTATTTACTGAGGTCCTATTTGTTGATTCTTGACCTTGCTTCCTGAGCAGTTGATGTCCAGTTTAGGAAATCCTTTCCTACACCTATATCTTGTAGGTTTTTGCCAACGTTTTCTTCTAACAGTCTCAGAGTTTCAGACTTTACATTGAGGTCTTTGATCCATTTGGAATTGACTTTTGTGTAAGGTGAAAGATAGGGGTTTAGTTTCGTTCTTCTATAGGTGGAGATCCAGTTTTGCCCGACCATGTGCTGAACATGCTGTCTTCCCTCCAGTTGATGTTCTTGGCCTCTTTGTCAAATATTGGGTGGCTGAAATTGCATTTGCTCATATTTGGGTCTTCAGTTTTGTTCCATTGGTCTATGGGTCTATTTTTGTGCCAGTACCATGTTTTTATGACTATAGCTCTGTAATACAGCTTGAAATCTGGTATAGTAATCCCCCCGATATTGCTCTTAGTGCTCAGAGTTGTTTTGGCTATCTGAGGTCTTTTGTGCTTCCATATGAATCTTAGGATAATTTTTTCCAATTCTGTGAAAAATGTCATGGGGATTTTGATTGGCATTGTGTTGAATCTAAATGGCTTTTCGCAGGATGGTCATTTTCACAATATTAATTCTTCCAATCCATGAGCATGGGAGGTCCTTCCATCTTCTGATGTCTTCCTCAATTTCTTTCTTTAAAGAGTTAAAATTTTCTTTGTAGAGTTCTTTAATGTCTTTGGTCAGGTTTATTCCAAGGTATTTTATTTTTTTTGTGGCTATTGTGAATGGGAGGGTTTCCCTGTGCTCTTTCTCTGACTGCTTGTCATTGGTATATAGAAAGGCTATAGACTTTTGTAGGTTAATTTTGTAACCTGCCACTTTACTGAATGTGTTAATAATTTCTAGGAGTTTGAGCGTGGAATTTTTGGCGTCCCTTAGATATA